TAGCAGAGCAATTGTTGGGTAAGGGAGCAAGTGATTTTATAAAGTCTGTCAAATGTAAGTCCAAAAGACTCGCGTTGAAAGCGATGATCGCTTACAAGTCCCCCAGGCCAATTATGAACATCGCAACGCCAAAGAGACGCAAGTGTTGAGTGTGAATAACGTCATCGGCTTTTGACATCACAATTGCAATCTAAGGTGGAAAAAAGGTCGCACGAGGCGTCACTCTCCAACAAGTATATATCGGAATCCCACTTCCACACTAGTTCAACGTGAGTCGGTTGGACTTTCAAAGCGATCAATCTTGGTAATTAGTGAAAGTTTTTGAGCGTCTCGTGATTTTTCCTACCTTGGATATTCCAAGGTAATATTCACAGCTGTTTTTTCTGCCCTGCTTTAATTTTTTCAGCACTATATTTATTGACTTGTGGTTGATATTGTTGTAATATGGTGACTGGTTGTCACTTGAGTTAATTTGATGTTAGTTGTTGAGTTTTTGGAGAAGTTATTGATCTCGAACTGGTTTTTTTTTTTTGGTCAAATCTCGAACTGGTTTAAGCAATAAATTGTTGACCTTTCTCCCCCAACAGCGTGGAACAAAATTGACATTTCTTAGGTTCTTCATTAACAAGCATCGTTTCCGTGGCTTTCTTGTCAACAAACATGGCACCCAAAGCCAACGCATATCGTCCTTGCAAAACACCCAAAACAACATTTTCTTTTTCAAAGTTTTCCTACGCCAAATTAAATTAGGGTTCCACAAATAAATTGGTCGTGATTATCTTTGACTGGGGTTCATATCCAGGATCGGAGCCTCGACCATTTTGCCAGTGGGGGGGCCATAATGAAATAAACAGACAAAAGATTAGAAACATAAATTAATTCTCTACCCATTAAAAAGGTGGCATTACCATTCATTTTACAATTGTCCTCGTACATGCATTCATGTGTTCAATAAATCGCATAATTGCTTCATTTTCTATGGTACTAAATGCCTATTTCTCCATATAAGTGATTGAACAATCGTTCATGAATCAATCATTTGCGACTTAGGCTATATCAAATGGAGCATAAAATGGCATTACATACCTACCCAAAAGTATAACCTTTCGCTTGTAGAAAAATTAGGGCCTTATAACACAATCTTGGCCCGTTGGACATAATAGACATCAATTTGGGTTTCAATTCACAAGGCACTATTAAGTTGTCAACAATAAGTGTCATGTCCAAAGTTGAGGTACATAATGCACGGACACTCAAAATGATGTGCTTTTTTTAAGGGATTTCATAATCAAATTAGGGTTTTTAAGTTTTCACATGGAAAAAACATGAAAGTGACTTTTTAAGCTTATTGATTCATCTAATATCTCCGTCTGTAAGGACTGATTCTTCTATCTCATACAATTATCAACTATGAGTAGCTTCGTGTAAAAAGGTTTACTCCTTGATTGATCAGTTTTTATTTACTTGGAATTTCTTCAATCAGCCAACATTTGGCTTTTATCTTCTTCGTTTCCTCCAATCAATTACGGATAGAACAAACACTAATGCATTCAACACCATCAGCGATTGCATTCTCTGTTTAGGAGAGATTCGATTTTGAAACCTTAAACTCAAATCGAACGTGCGATACTTCGACACAAATAAAATCTCCTGTTTATTGTCACATTGACTTTTTAAACATACAAGACATAAGTAAACATCTCGTACAGGTAGCATTACTTGTACCTTTCCCCCTGCCTACAACTATTTCCTTTATTTCTTCTTGTGCTTCTAAGGATGACTCGCTGAACTTTGGCAGGTACTACAGTTCTAATATGAAATGGGTATCAGCAACCCCACGTGGCAGAAGCGGGAGCGCTCTTCCTCGGCATAGTCGGCGGGTGAACAAATTGAGGAATACAAGAATCTTGTCCCTTACCAGATTGATGAGTTTTTGAGCAAGACCACACAAGTAAGTTGTAGAGAGAGCAGCATCAATAACGGCAAATAGAGGAGGAAGAAGGAGAGGCCTGGGAACAACAACGTCGTAGGCAAAGCAATGGAGAGGGAAAATGAAAGGATCATGAGGAAGCGAAAGATACGGGCACCGCAAGCAGTATTAAAGGCCGGTAGATGAGCGACAAGTGGAAGGGACAAGAAGCAATAGAGAAGGAGAGCAGAGATGGAGAAGAACATGGTGCCGGGGTGGGTTTCGAATGGAGAATCGGGCCTTCCTTGGTACTTCATAGTAATGAAGTTGAGCAGAGCCGGAATGATGAAGGTAAGTATGGCAGACGTGTTCCTCAGTTGATCGTGACCAAGAATAGGCATTTTTGGATATGTACAAATGTCAAGAAAGCAGAAGAGGACGAGGAGCAACAGGAGAGTGAATGCTGAGAAAGAGGAAGAGGACGAGGAGCAACTGCAGAGCGATTGTGGAGAAAGGGAGCAAAGTCAATTTATAACGAGTCTATCTTCGATGGATTGATGTTAGCACACTCTCGCACCTTGGTCTTGGATTGATGCTGACAGACTCCCAAATTTGGACTGATGTTGACAGACTCTCCCAAATGCTGTTAACTTTAGATCTTGCACCTTTGGTCTCTGAGTATTCCGTGAATGCTGTTTAACTTTAGATCTTGCACGTTTGGTCTTGGACTACTGATGTTGAAAGATTCTCGCATGGACTATTCCATGAATGATATTAACTTTAGATCTTGCACCTTTGGTCTTGGACTCCCGATGCTGTCAACTTTAGATCTTGCACCTTCAGTAGTGTGGAAGACCAAAGGTGCAAGATCTAAAGTTAACAGCGAATGGTCCATGCGAGAGTCTGTCAAGATCAGTAGTCCAAGACCAAAGGTGCAAGATCTAAAGTTAACAGCATTCATGGAATAATCCAAGACCAAGGTGCAAGGTAAACGCAAGACCAAAAGTCCCTGTCCGATTGTGCTTATATTTGTTTTTGTGAATTGGAACTCCACCATTCTTTTGCAGAAATTATTTTTGGATCCTTCAAATAATTGTGAAAATGACATTTGTTTGGGGTCAATTTGCTTTACTCTGTTCTCACATTCACACTCTTTTAGGAGATATTCTTCTGTGGATCGGGGACATGCGAGCTCAGTAAATCTCAATTCTTCACACACATTGGACTCATACCGGAATCATCAAACAAATTTTTCCCTTGCTGGACTCAAACTTTCAAAGGCCGATCAACCTCGTGTCCTCTGCCAGGATTGTGAGGTGATATGCCTACAATTGCTGCAGATTTTCCCTTAAATCTGCCTAAACGGTAAGTAGAAAGAACTAGAATAACCCATAAGACAAGCAAGCATTATGAAAATGCTCGTTAATGAATTTGATTTGGTTCGTCAGCATGGCAACATAAACCCCAAATTCGCGCAACAAATTCTCCTACAATAACGACAAACGTGTAACATAGGCGAAATGGAAGGGGAAAAAAAGACCGTACGCATAAAACGCAGCTTTATTTCATCAACAACTTCACTCTATAGTGAGCAAATTATATGAAGATTACTCTGTATAAAAGAAAGGGCTAAATGGCACAATAATACTAAGGGTTAATACCACGAAAAACCCTAAACTGGTACACTTGTGACACATTTACCCCAAACTATTTTTTTGACCATAAAAACCCCAAACCGTACACCGTGACAATTTTACTCCGAATTATTTTTTGACCATAAAAACCCCAAACCCAGTACATCGTGACAATTTTACCTCGAACTTACCACAAAAAACCCCAAACTGGTACAAATGTGACAATTTTACCCTGAATTAAAATTTTAATATTATTTTTTATTTTTTTTCGAATTTTTATTTATTTTTTTCCTTTTATTTTATTTTTCTTTATCTTCAACCTCTGGCCGGTCGCCGGTCCGGCGACCGGCCAGAGGCGGAAGCCGGCGAGGGCCACCCTTCGGCTTCGGCGAGGGCCGTCCTCGCTGTGATCCGGCGAGGGTGACCCTCACCAAGACGGCGAGGGCCGCCTCGCCTGCGCGAGCGAGGGCCGTCCTCGCGGATCCGGCGAGGACCGCCTCGCTTGCGTGCGGGGGCCGCCCTCGCCGGCTCGGCGAGGGCCGTCCTCACCCACCCTGTAAGGGCGAGGGCCGCCCTCGCGGCTGGCGAGGGCGGCCCTCGCCGACGTTGGCGAGGACGGCCCTCGCTCGAGCCTGGCGAGGGCCGCCCTTGCCGAGTCGAGCGAGGGTCGCCCTTGCCGAGTCGAGCGAGGGCGGCCCTCGCCGGCCGCCGAGGGCGGCCCTCGTCGGCTTCCGCTGCAGCGGTCGCCGGACCGGACCTGCGCCGAGGTTGAAGTGAAGAAAAAAAAGAAAAGAAAAAAGAAAAATTCAAAAAATTAAAAAACATAAAAATAATATTAAAAATTAGTTGGGGTAAAATTGTCACACATGTGACTGTGTTTTTATAAGTATGTTCGGGTAAAATTGTCACAGGTGTACCAGTTTGGGGTTTTTTATGGTCAAAAAAATAGTTTAGGGTAAATGTGTCATAAGTGTACCAGTTTAGGGTTTTTCGTGGTATTAACCCTAATACTAAAGCTAAATTGTCCAAATTGAAAAGTTCAAAACTAAATTGACCGCTGTACAATAAGTTTATAATTTTTTAGACAGTTATCCATTATATCTAAAAAGATAGAAACATGAAAACTAGGCGTCTTTTGCAAAGAATTTTTTTTTTTTGGGTCGAAAATCGCAAGAGTTGAGCTGCTGCGTGCTGCTTGCCATTAATACATATCGAGAATTTCAGTGGAGAGTCGATCAGCAACGGGTTAGTAAGATCAGTCCTCTTTCTGGTCAATTTCAGCTCCTCCCTACTGTTTTCCACGAAACAGTAAATATATGAAGACTAAATAATCGCATTAGAAATCTTGCCCTCTTATAGAAAAAAAGTATAATGCAACCTTTTCTTGAAAAGGAAGTTTGGAAATCATTTGGGTAAACGGGTCGGGTCGAACTCCAACTGAAAATGAAAAACCGCCGGAGTTTCACCATTTTGTTAGGGCAGAGACGGGGAGATTGAAGTCGGCGATGGAACAGACTCGGAGCAGACAGAAAAGCGAAATAGAAGAAGGAGGAGAAGGGAAAGGCGACACCGATGAAGAAGCGACGACGGCGACGAAGGAGACGACGGCGATGACGCCGTGGGAGCAGCACTCGGCCGTCATCAGCATCCCTCGCTTCGACTACAACGCCCCCTCTTCCCTCCTTCGCCGCTCCCACTCCGGCTTCCTCGTCACCTGCACCATCAGTGTACCATCTCTCCTTCGCCTTCTTTAGCCGTCGATTCGATGATCGGAACTTGGGTTGATGGGTCTTTGTCTTTTTTCCTTCCCATTTCTCTTCCTTTCATCAGGGAGGGAGAAGAGCGCCACCAAAGAAGCCATGCGCCTCCTCGAAAAGGTTTTGATTGCCTTCTTAAAGTTGAGCCCTTTTAAGCGTTACTGAACGAGATGCTACTGATTAATTCTACATAATGTGTTTTGAGTATGGTTCATTTATGCTTGGAGCTTAGAAGTGAAGAACTGGGTCTCCCTTGAGTACGTGTAATTGCATTGACTGGTTCATGTGGAAGTGATTTGAAGTAGCTCAATGAAATGGGTCTTCCTTTTCCTATATAGGATAGTGAAATTTCATCCTCCTTAGCATTGTAGTGAATGCTTTTGCAGTATTGTGGGACATTGGCTGCTAGCGGTAGTAATGACCTGGAGTTGGCCGATGCGAAGTTAACTGCTAAGAGAAGGAAAGTCTGTCCTGAGGAATTGGATCAGGAAGGTGCCAATGGTGCTGAGCGTGGGCATTTAACCGATCAGCATTGTAACGAGGATGGTACTCTTCTGGTCAAAACCCAATCACTACGTACTTAGATATCTGTAAAACGTAGTCTAACTGCCTCCAACTTCGCTATTCAACTGGCAGGTAAGCTTTCAGAAGATGTGTCTTCTCAAACGCAGGGAGACATCAGTGCAAATAAATCTTCAGCTCTTTCATTAGTCAAGTTGACAGGGAGTGGTTTGCTTCTCTTTACATTCCCCCATGACGATTCAGCCGACACCATTCAAATTGTGTCTGATATTATTGATTCCCTGGGATCTGGAGATTCGAGTTCCCCAAAGTGAGTTTTTCTTTTCCTTCCTTGACATTAGACACTGAAATGGCTCCCTAGTTGATATGATCAATTTCCTACCCTGGCTTGTTACTTTAGGATTGTGCAATGTGCTAGGAGTCATTACAGATGCATAGACTTTCTTGCACCGTACGTGACAGAGAAACTTGGCATTGATGGATGAGTCCTCTAAGTGGAAAGTTAAAGGAAAGAAAAAATAGATGTGCAACTAAGCCTCAATGAGGCATATCTGTTTTACTTGATCAGCTTAAACTCTGCCCACTGTAGTATAATAGGATTGCTGCTTATTTATGCTACTTATGACAGGAGAAGTCATGTGAGTGTTTGGTTTGGCTGATTTGCTTTTGATTACTTTAGATATTTTGGTGACTTTGTCAACAATAAATGCCCATATTTATATATGTAGCATTTAAAGTTGCCTCAAAATTTATTGTAATATTTGTCTATTAAACTATAATTTTCATTTATTAAAGGCCATCTAGTAGCCCATTAGTGCACCCTACAATTGCAGTTGAGCATGCATTGCAAATAACTTGAAATACGGCAAATGTGTTTTTGGCTGGTGTGGAAGGACAATAATGAAAGCATTGTTCTTGAAGGAGACATCTTTGCTGATATTTTTGTCCCAAAAAAAAGAAAAAAAAGGGAAGGTTTTTCGTGGATCTTTGGCTGTGGAAAATGCACCAAAAGTTTCCCCATTCCCGGAAACTTGTAGTTTGCGAACATTTCTTCTTATGTATTCATTGCTAGCATTTGATTAAACTGACCACTGTTTTGCAAATTGTAAGAATTTTAGCTTGAAGGGATCTCTCCAAAAAGTTATTATTTTGAACTTTGCTGAATGTTTTCTCACTGAACTCTGACTTTATTTTATTTCACTTTTGGTTCAAACTACATTTTAGGATTTATTTGTTCAAATGCCAATTAAAGAAGTCAGTTTTTCTGGTGCAGTTGGTGTCATCGAATTTTTCCTATCCAAGCTACATGCAGTTTGAATGAGCCAGACCTAAGGACTGTTGTTCAAAAGCTTGTTCTCAAGTTTATAAAGGATAAGCCAAGCAGACTTGCATTACCTATAAAGGTACATGTTCTATCTGTATCATAAGAAGATCAAGTTATCTATTTATCGCTTTAGTCCCTTCCCCCTTCTGTGTTCTTTTTAAGTTTGACACTTTGGGGATTTCATTTCTTAATCTTTTTCAACTGTTGCATCTTACCCTGTTGCACGAAGTCTTCTCCTCTCCCTTCAATCGAATCAGTGCTGTTACAATCTCGTTATGGATCCTTTTAAATTGGTCCAATCTTGTGAATCTGTCTGCTCACAAATTGAACAACTCTTCCATTGGCCCCTAGTTTGCAGTTGGATTTAATAGAAGAGGACTTGAAGAGATGGAGCTGAAGAATTCAAATGATAAATCCAATGGTTCTGATCTACTACCTTTGTTGGACTGCCACAAATGCTTTGAAGTCGTAGCTGCAGCAGTTAAGGATGCTATATCAGATTCAGTTGTAGATCTAAAAAACCCCGAGGTAGAGCTCCCTCCTCTCTCTCTCTCTCTCTCTCTCTCTCATGTTTATCTGACATCTTTTATTGCAGATTTCTGTTCTGGTTGAGCTGCTACCGCTTTCGGCTGTTCCGAGTGGGTCATTGGTGGCTGCGGTATCAGTTCTTCCACAAAAACTGGTCACTACAAAGCCACGGCTGTGTGTCAAGGCTTTGGCTCCTCAGGCTAAGTCAAAGAATAAGTAAGTTGGCGGACTATAGCAGCAACTCACGGCTGTGCAATCTTTCAATGGAAGATGCTCGTGATTATGGCCTTGGATTCCAAAGAACCATGAAAAGATGAAACAACAGAATCCAACTGCAATACATTCGTGCGAGTCGGCTTTCAGCAGACACAACAGGTTGATATAGTCACATCAACGAAAAGTTCCAGTGTAACTTGTTTCAGTCTAAAGCTCGGCCTCCGTAAGGAGTAGAAGACAATAAAAATTTCTTGATCCTTTAGAAACATATTAGGATTTGGGGAGAAATATTGATCTTTCTTTGCATCTTTTACTGTCTTGGCTCTCTCATGTTTGACCGAGACTACAATATATCTAATTTCCTTTTTCTCCTCTAGAGTTGAAAGATAGCTCTCCATGAACAATTTGTTAAATGTAGTGTTGGTGTCGGATATGTAACTCTACTATGATTTTGTAATTATTCTTTCAAAATTTTCCCTGAACAAGAGTGCATTTCATAGTGAATCATTGATGGTAGCAATCGTCAAAATTACTTAGAAGGATCATCTGATATCCTCATTTTAAAAACTCCCTGATCAGACAATAGTTCTGACATTCATTGTTGAAGACGTGTGCCCTTTGTCCTGTGAGACTTTGGGGGGAAGGATTGCTACCTCAAGGCTGATTATAACCGGCCCTTGCTCATTCATGTACAACATGAATCACCAGGTCAAGCATATTAGTATTCTGCAACATGAATCGCCGAGTCGAGCATATTATATTCTGCAACATGAATAAACAGGTAACCAGAGGTGCGCACAGGATTTGGAACTCAGTGTATTGACAAACAACGCTTACTTCCCCTAGCGCGAAAACATAAACTAGGGCGACTGTGATGAGCCCATTAACACGGTGACGATGTTGCTCTTCTGGGGACAAGAAAATCTATTCAAAATCGAACTCTTTGGAAGCCAACAAGTTAGTACCTACAGAACAAATGCTTCAGGGAAGGAACTAAACACAGCAAGAATTGAAGGAAGAAAACATGATCAGATGAATTATGCGCCGCAAAGAGCAATGGATAGATCTAAGTTGACACAAGGCTCTTCATAGGATGAGAATGAGGAGAGTTTTGGGGACGAGGTTGATGATATTGCTTCGCTGATCCCGCTTTCTGAGGACGCGTTACTTCCCTGCAAGAAAGGTTGAATATTCGTCGGAAGTGACAGCGACAATGACAACTCGCAGCCACAGCCGTCGATGTCCTTGAGTTCTCCGACTTCACTTCTCACGCCGGTTCGTTTCGTCTTCTTTCGCGGCACGTGCTCTTGAACTTCTTCTGCTTTTGCTATCTGTTTGAATAAGATGAATGTCGAATTAATCGATGGGGACAATGCAAAAATATAAAACAAAGCGATTTTGCATATGTTTGATGGGAAAAGAACACTGTGATCCACCCTCATATACATGCCAATGCACAGGTGCGAACAATCTCACAGCTATTATTAAAACATTGAATTTGAAATCAGGGAGTATTGAGTTGGAATTATACATTGGCCTTTTAATTAAGCTACTCATGGAAATTAACTGCAATTATGGAAGAAATCCCACAACCATAGTAGTTAGAAAAGATGTAACATGACTAAACTTATTCTAACATACCAAGCAAGAAACATTTGAGAGGCCGTCAAATGCGCATTCGACCTCATTCAAATTATGTGCAATATCAACCCTTCGCAATTGCGTTAAGATGAGTTTATTTAATATCTTTTACATGAACTTAAAGTATATATACAGTCGGAATTTAACATTTTTAAGTCATTAAGGTTAACCTATTAATATTTTCAATGAGACCAAGCCAATTTTGTTCGTTAACATTTTTAACAAGGCTGAATGTGATTTCACTGTTTCTTGATAAATTATTGATCTAGATAAGGAGCCAACTCCTCGTAAACCCGACAAATATTAAGTGGTTAGAGCCAAATTAGCATGCACTTTTCCAATTTCTACCCAAAACTGAAAAACTGTCTAGCCTAAAAATTTAGAAACTTGTTATGACTTTGAATTCTATTATTTGTCCATACTGTTAATTAAGCAAACCCAAAGGCCACCTCAACCTCAAAATTTTGCCAAAAAATTTCCACGAAAACCCAAGATTTTTGGCATGTAATCAATGAATCTCTTGCCTCTAAATTTGAATTCTAAATTATTCTCAAGTATTTCATAAATCACCCATCTCTCCTTTTTACCAGAAATTGCGATTAATTATATTAAAAAAATTGGATCAAAATGTTTACATATAACTGTTATGATTAATTTAATTGTTCACTATTTCTCTTCATGCGTAATATGTGCGCTCTTTTCCTAGTATTATGATTCCAAGATCGACATATTTAACATTACATATAATTTCAAAACCACGAATAAAAGGAAAAGAAAAGTAGAAAGCCAAAATCAATACCACACCAAACCTTGATATACAAGCATAAGTCTAGGCAGGAGGACCTTTGTCTGCGTACCTGGAGAAAATCAGATTCTGCCACTGCATAGTACTCAGGCTTGATCATCATCTGCAGATCAGTGCATGAAGTTTCCATCAAACTTGCCGTCGTCGTCTCCACTCTACACCGGAGTGAATCACAGACGCAGTGCATGAACGACTGATAATCTGATTTAGATGAGTCTTCTTTATTGGGTTTCGAGGATGTGTGAAGTATGTTTCTGTCACTGGGTTCGGGGTGTTCGACTAATATGCACCCATCAGGTTCATCATCTGAAAAAGATGGTCTTTTTTGTCCAGCACTGCTGTGACTTCTACCTGTAACCGCACGAAATATGGTGTTTACACAGGTCAATATATAAAAAGATTCAAAAAGAGATGTCTGTAATTCTAGGCATACATACAAAGGTATTTATGAGTATCCGTATCCAAAATTCTATGTGACCTACAACCGAGAGGAGGGCTGGCAGGGACTGTTGCCCTATCTGGCCGCTTGGTGATTAGCTCTAACTTATGAAATTTTGTATGCAACTTTTGTTTTTGGCAGAAGTCAATAGATGAAGTGACGACAGGAGGCCACTAAGAGATGTTCAAATGCAACACCATCACTGAAGTAGAAAATCTGCCATTAGTTAGGGCATGCCCTATACAACATTTGAAACTTTGAAATCAACACCAAGACACGCCCTGGGGGCTTGTTGTTGTAGCTAAGTTACCTTGTTGTCTGCCCAAATCATTTCTCATGCTCCTGTACATCTGCGGGAGACAGAGATCGGAGAAATAGAGATACTTAGTAAGAAGTCTACTAAGAATGTATTTTAAAGTGTTGGGAAGAATTCTGAGTACATGACTCTGAATTAGTAAGAAGATCAAGTAGCATCAAAAGTTGTCCAATTTATTCAAACACTTCGCAAAGATTTTGTCCAAATCATCACTAAGAAATCCTGGAAAGCTAACAAAACCTATTGACCTGGAGATGGCTCTTGACATGGGAAATGGTCAGTCCCCTCACGTCCATGAGCTGAAGAACCATCTTGGGTGTGGCCTCTGAGATGCATATAAAGATGGGAATCACAAATCATACAAGCATTAAAAGTAAAAACAAATTATCAATATCATAAAGAAGAGAGGATAGTTAAGTAATAAGTAACTGTGATGACCACCGAGAAGGTGGACAGCGTGCATAAAGCAGTGGTGAAGCTCCGGAGTCCATCTCAGCCGTGGCACCTTTGATCTTGTGTACTGCCTCACTCCCCCCATCAGTGGCTATAATCAACCTGTCTCTTTGCTGCGATATTCTGTCTTTATATTAGTGTCGTCATCTCCCAAAGGAGGTACCTCTCTTATAAACACCCACAAACTTGACACACTCACCTTGTTACATGAATGTGGAGTTATAACATATGGCACTCCACTTGAAGCTTGCTTTTCTTTGCTTCTACGGATGGATCCACAAGAGATGCAGAGAGAGAGTTGGACTTAGGATGTGTGTACTTGTTTTGAAACTCTGTCGTTGGGTGCGTTTCAAAAGCAATAATTCACTGGCTGGTAAAGAAAAAGGTCATACCTGAACTTGTGCGTCTGTGTGTGTGAGAGAGAGAGACTCTTATAATGGAAGATATAAAATCTCTGATTCTGATCCGCTGTTGCATCTGCGAAAGGTCAAAAGTTATTGCATTCATGAGAAGAGACTATTATAAAAGGGGCTAAGATAGAGAGTATTGCCATCATTGCCCAATCTGTAAACACACACTGATAGCTGCACCTGCTCCGCTTTGACCTTTACCCTCTCTCTCTCTCTCTCTGTGGAGTGCCAAAGTCGTCAAAATACCGAAAGCCCTTTATATATTAGGTTGGTAAATTTTTCTCTTTCTTTCTTCATCTTTTTCGTTTACCAAAGCCTACTGGCCTCATTTGCTGTCAAAAAGGTCCATCAGTTTTACTTGAAACTGTTAAAATGTTCTCATTTTTTTTTCTAAATTCCTAAAGTTTCATTCACAATGTTTGGTAGGCCAAAATTATTTAGGACGTGCATTTTTTTTCCGGCTCAATGGAGGCTATTGTTTTCTTGAAGTATTATAATTAATGTAGTGTAGTAAAACGAGTCTAGATTAGTCTTGTTGAATGACTATTCTTGCATGTTTTGCATGAGCTAAACTGACTTGAAATTCAAACCGGTTGACACAAAGAACACCATGCAAAAACTATTGAAATGATGGCTTCAGTAGGCAAATTCAACGCATCTAATCATTTCAAGAAAGTAGAATCCCACACAAACAAGATTGTACTCGTACAATGCTTTTCAAGAGTAGACACCGTCTCCACGTAGAAGACGCAACCGCCAACAAAAGAACCTTTTACATTAAATACTGGTTTGACCGAATTAAGAATTGTCTGACGTTATTCTAAATACAACCTTCCTGGTGTTTATCACGACAAACGTGCACATAATTTCGATGCCACAGAGCCGACGCTAAAGATCCATAGACCCCTTTGCGTGCATAGTTGACCTTTTTATGGTTGCACTTTTGACAGGAAGGGATATGATCCATTGAAGAGCTAGGGTTTTCAAGATGTCACCAATTCCACAAGGAGAAGTAGACATGCGTCCGATCTTAACGAGCAATTGTCAAGTCCGCTTGTAGTACCATGCGATGCCGCACGCATGCACCGGTAACTAAGTAGAGAAAGGAAGGAACAGGATGATGTATTCTTCCCAAGAATGGTAATTCTTGTGAATACAGGAATACTGTCACGTGATACTCTCAAATGACCTAATAAAAGATTAATCTCCCTATAATGTGCTGTTGAAATCTCCTGATGAAATGAAGTCCGTGAAGAGGGAGTCGTTCTGTTACTTTTCAACAAAAAAAGCGCACTTACAGCTCTCAACCTGCTCCTCTGAGAGGTCCGTTCAAAGAAAGACGTTGGAGTGGCCCATTTCATTCTAACTTTCTAGTTCAACGTACAGAGAAACGTTTACTTGCATCATGCCCACGAATAAAAATCATCATAAGTTTATGAACTGCCCATTAACGCGAGATCAACCTCTGCTAATGACGATTACGATCAAAGCGCTAAACGAATGGATCCTATTTGGGGAAGTTAAAGAAAGGGACATATGAACTCAGGAGGTGTCACACTGAGAATCATTTCTGAACTTTGCACCAGCTGATCTTCCATCTCGTGTGATCCCCTGCATTGATTAAAAAAACTCCGAAAATAGATATAACCATTCCAGAATGAGAAATTTAACCACGCAGAGGCACTGGCGTTACAGTGTACCCATATATAAGCTTTATATGCATGTTTTATGTATTGCTTTTTGGTACGCACAGGCCACATGATACAGCTGGTTCGGTTCCAAGCAATCATATCGAGGAAAAACATCCATCCACGCGAGCTTTGTCCATGCCACATTGAATTCCATTAAAAGGAAAAAAAACATTGGAGGTTTGACATTTCATTCACACTGGCTTGTAGTCCCAAGTATAAGTTCCTCTTCAAGATGCCCTCCATTTCTTTGTTCTTTTTTGGGTTGTTCCCAAGTTCCAGCTCTCTTGCACCAACTTCGAATAATCCCTCGAAAGAGACCGTAAATCAAGGCATGAACATACAAGCACACATTGACCTAGTTCCTTGTGGTGTAGCCCCACGTTTTCCGGTCGAACCTTTAATAGGCTGCGACATCAATTTTCGCCTTTGACTAAAGTGGCCGTGGCCACTTGTTGATCCAGGCAATATGTGAGAAAGTTTATTCATGCAGTGGGTCCCCGCAAGCCTTGACTTTCGTGCTCGATAATCAAAGGCAAGGAATTAGGTAGGGCTCTATATATTTGAATCGTCACCATCTGTTTCTCTAAAGTCTTGTTTTGATTCATGTATGCATGTGTGTATTTGACAATCTGTGTGTAGTTTGGATATTTTCAACACGAGAGGTGATCATGGACCGACACATTTCACAAGTTCAACAAGAGAGACAGTGATGGATTTGATCTGCAACAAGGAGGAATCTCATGCAGTTGATGGCTTGAGCCAATAAAAAGAATTATCAATATATCCGAGTTTGTTCATGTATAATTGATTAGCTTAAATTTCTAAGTGAAGCCGAGTCTTATTAGATATGATATGTCGGTGGACACAAATTTTGAAGTACCTCCTTTTGATCTCCTTGTTACGAAGGTTTCTTACATCAATATAAAGATGAGCTCATAGATTTTATGTTCTTTTTATCCAAAATGACCTCTTAAATTAAGTCACAAGAAAGTTATAATTTCCGCAAATTCACTAATTAAATCTTATATAGATGCCTTGTTCTGATTGGAGCCTTAAAACTGCAAAAAAATAGATAACCTAATTGCGTTATGATCTGGCTAATTTGATTTGGTCTTAGCTGTTTTCCGCACCCTTCCTAATTTCATTTTCTTTGCACGAATGTGACGGCTCTTGAGGAAAATTTGACGAAAGACAAACTAAGAGAATTCCATGGAATGAGAATTTGGAATGAGGGCCAAGTTGTCAAAGCAAGAAAATTTAATCATCTTTTCTTTTTTTGGATGTATTGTGGCATGCCCAAGTTTGACTAAATCCAGGCAATATATGATGACGATGATAGATAAATTAAGGACAAATATGTGTTAGGTGATGTATTATTCCAAGGTCTTGACTCTTGCCATGGAACTAAAAAATAGTTTGCTGTGGGGATACCAAGGGGGATCATGTGATGTGATAAGCCCATAAATAATTGTGCTTCAAAAATTCGGGGGAATTGTCCAATTAATGTTAAATGAATGTCAATTCAATCCTAAATATTCAATTTTGCCAATTGAGTCTTAAACATATACTCAAAATTCCAATGTAGTCATTCCGATCAATTTTCGTCAGAATTTGCTGACGCGTCGGTGTGCCTGTAGGAAGGCTGAGGATGATTGGATCACCATGTCAGCGATTTCCAACGAAAATAGACCAGAAGGGCTACATTGGAGTTTTGCGTAAAGGTTTAGGACTCAATTAACAAAATTGAAATTTTTAAGACTGAATTGACATATGTACAATATGTTTAGCACTAATTGAATAATTTTTCCTATAAATTACAAGCTTATGATTATGTCATGATAAAAATTGATGGTTGCATAGCAGAACAGCCACATTAAACAACATTTAGACGATGGAAAAAGACGAACAACAATGGTACGCACATAATGCAAGATGTTGGTTGGCTCATAGTTTGGAAGTAGCTAGCAATTATTTAGCAACGAAGATAGTATGGATGATCAGTTGTGATGCGATAAGCGACCGGCATCTGTTAAATAAGGCAATCGAGTCGCAGCGTCGGTTTTTTTTTTTGGGTTGATTTCGCGAGGGAAGACTTACGTATTCTTTCGAAGCATATAAAGTCCGGTGTTCGATTTACAACAATGGTAAAAGGTTGCGTGTTTTTTCTGAGATAATTGAAAGTTCGTGTTGATTTTGCGACAATGCCAAAAGCTTGTGTATTTTACTTTAGCTAATTGGCCCAATGTCTGTCGGTGTAGAAGTTTAGTTCGTGTATTCAAGTCCTTCGGACTCATTCCTCATTTCAACCTTGACCTGATGATGGGAATTTGTTGGACGAATCAATCCTCTCGATAGCAGAATTTTCCGGTTTCATTCTTGTTTGCCGCCGTTGCATTCGAATGCACTAGAGATATCGATTCTAAGTGTCCAAACCAGGCCGATTTTGGACAAGCATCGGCAACAATGAAACCAACCCTTAGCTAACAATATAAAATGTGGGTGAAATCCGAACCGGTGCAGTTGGACAGAGCAGCATAAGTTCATACCAATGCTCGATTTGAGTATCATTACCCTTCTCCATTCAGCTGTTATGTTCCCTAAAACCAGCGACTGCTCCTAATTCTTACAGGCAAAATATTTTTGCTTGAGCAGCTTTTTGGACTAGACCACCAATGGCAAACATGGGAAATGTATGAGATTTCAGACAAATGGACCCTAAAAACAGCAGTGAAATTTATTTCAGGATCTTAGATCTGCCGTGCGCAAATCTCTAAGCGCATTCGGTACACATGAATACATAGCATGGTGAGAAAAAGAGGAATAAATCAGATGAAATTGCAGCGATCATTGTTTGTCTGACAAGAGTACATAACCAAACGACCCGCTTAATTCCTATATACAATAAGGGTAACCAAAGCATCACGGCGGATTCATCGTGTAAAGGACTTGCAGCAAGCCTCAAGAGGCCCTTTTCTTCTTGTACGTTTTGGCACAAGCGATGTAGCCCAACATGTT